AGAGATCATTTTTAAACATTTCCATTCCACTGAAAGTGATAACAGTGGAAACTGTCTGCTTAATCAGGGCGATTTGCATTTAAACAGTGCAAAGTACAACATGACAGGGGCTTTGTCATAACGAACCTCTGCATTTGTGATAAACGGTCATCATCTCCGCTAATCGGACGGGAGCACGGGTTGAATCTATCCAAAGTGATGATACATGCGCCGGGACGTATACATTCGCGTTGAATTTATAGCTCCATTTAACCCAGGTTAATGTTGAAAATCCCCGAATGTTTCCAGTAAGGCCCATATGGTTATCACGTTACCAAGCACGCAGGCTCTGCACTTGGGTTGCAACATACACATCTCCGTCTCAAGTGCGTGCCAGATCCATTAGACACAGCCCTCCCTGCGCAGACAGGAACAGACAGCGCTTGTTCGCCCGGCACCAGCCGGACCCTTCCCTTGAAGAAACGAAAACGTAGGCGTCTTAGGCTCTGCACGCCTTACCGTGAAAAATCCCGAGGAAATTGGGAAAACAATAGGGTTCCATAAATAATGCCATATTAAATAGGAACTACTTAGAGTATCTGCATTTAGTAGGTGCTTCCGCTACCCATGTTTCCATATTTCAGGAACTGCTGCAAAATTTGATGTTTTTTTTTTTTACCTGTTCCCATTATTTGTGTCTTTGCCGCAAATTATGTTTTCCGAGAGAAGTCAACCGAGTTTGGAGGTACATTGATGGGGCTTCATATCATGACTAGAACTTTCACACTATGTGCCATTAAAAAACGAATGGGCAGAAAAGTCAAAAAGGGTGTTTAATAAATATCTTTTCACAGTCGACTTTATGTATGATATATCCTGTTTTAAAAAGATAGAAAGGATGACTGAATTCAGTGAAGGCATCAAAACACCGTATTCGTGATTCACTCATTCATTCAGCAGCGACTCACGGAGCGTCTCCTACACACACGGCAGCGGTCTGTGCTAGAAGCCGTGGGTTCAAGGAGGCACAGGCCAGGCCATGGTGCCCGGGAGCTTGAAGCTCTTGGACAAGGCTCACACAAAACAAACGAACAGTGCCACAGCGTGGGGCCGGAAGAAAAGGCAGAGGGAGGAAGCACTTCCGAGGGATGGGGGTAGAATTACTCGGTGCTTCGGGGAGGGGGTGTACCAGAGGCTGAGAGCACATCCCAGACGAAGGGAGGGGAGAATAGGGCGCTTCTGCAAAACGAGGACATATTCCTGGGCCTGATACTGACCGATTGTCACATAATGGCTTTTTTTTAAACCTGTGCACAAGTTAACTTATAGACTGGGTGTGCGATATCTAGAGGACACTGCATTGTTGACAAAATCGTCCAGTGTCACTAATTTATGGTAAACGTTGCCTCAGAGACTGCCTACCTTAAATCCAGTATATACTCACACCCCGAATGCACTGTGCACTGTGTGCCTTAAATACCGTACATGCACTGCTTCCTGGGAAAGCTGTTTTTGGAAAATAGGAGCTTTTAAAAGGCTCTCCATGATAACGATGACAAAGATTGCATCTTTTAGTAGGAAATCATTGGAAACACGTGCACGGAGTTACACCAAAACTGAAAATGCCACACGTGACCAGGGCCTCTGTGTTCAGAATCGGTCAGGGAAGTGGCTCTCTTAGGAGGTCAGCGGTGGGGCTGCGGTCCGCAGCTGTGTCTCCCCCGGGGTCGGAGCCACGTGGAGGCCGGCGCCTGCGGCGGGACACAAGCCGATGCCTGGGGGAAGCCCGGTGCATGCAGAGGCCAGAGTGTCCCATCGCCGGCCCGCTGGGCGGCTCCGCAGTGCCTGCGCCTCCAGAGAGGAGAGGCCGGTCTTGCTTTAACTAATGGCCGTATATTTCCCACGACAAACAGCCATTTCACTTCATGACTCGGTCAGTGATAAAACTAGAATACTTGCTGTACAGTTTCCATCCATCTAATAGCCAAGAGAAATAAATTACTTGTTTTTGCAAGGGGGGAAACATCCCCCAACACCTGACAATAACTGGAGAGCGCTGTGAGACACTTCCGGGTGAAAGGTCAGTGCTGGTGCTGCCAGCGGGTCCAGCGAGTCACTTGCTTCGTGCCCCGTGATGTGTCGAACCCTGTTCTCCAGGGCCCAGGGCTGGGGTTCTCTTCAGTGCCCGGCAGTCTTCGGCCTGTGTGTTAAGCAGTGCATCAGCTGGGAGGTCACCTCCTGTGGGACATGCATAGATACTGCCTTTCCTGGCCTTTCCAAGGGTCTGGCTGGAGGGCTGGGTGCCTCCGCTCGGGCCAAGCCCTCCATTTCTCTCCTCCTCATCCGCACCAGAGCCCTTTCAGTGGTACAGATTGTGGCTCTTGATGTGGGACCCCACCCCCTAGCCCCATCACCCTTTCCTCGTTGCTAGAATGGATGCCACAAGTCCCCAGGATACCTGTGAGGACCAGCAGTGTGGAGGGGCCTCCTGGGAGAGCCTCCTGCCTGCCTGACCCTGACCCTGACCCTGACCCTGACCCGGGTTCCCCTTCTGCAAGACTGTAAGGCAGCCCCCTGCTACTCCGCCCAGGAGGGAGGTGAGGTGGGAACAGCCGCCACCCAGCCTCTTCAGCTCCAGGCTGTGTCTGCGGGACAGGGGGAGCAAACGGACAGCCCCCCAAAACAACAGCATCCAGGGGAAGGCCCCGTTATGCTGCCTAAAGGGGACATGCGTCCCCTTCCGGGACACTCAGGGGAGATGTTAATGGACAGTGGTGATGTTGGCCTTGGCCTCAGGCGGAGGACCAGCCCCTTCCCTCTCCCACCCCCCGAAGTCCGCCCCACCATGGCTCAGGCTCAGCCAAGTCCTCCTACAACCCCCTCCCTCCTGCCCTGCCCGGTGGACCCAGTGGCCCAGCCTGCTCTCTTCTTCCTTCCCAGCGGTTCCAGAGGCTTGCATTTCCTGCGGGGGGGGGGGGGCAGGGGGTGCTGCAGGGGAGCCCAGCAACATTTTTTCTTCTTTCTGGTGAACTGTGTATCAGCGTGACAAGGGGGCCCACGGGAGGGCGATGCCACCAGGCGGCTCAGTCCCATCATCCCTCTTCAGACCGGCGGCGCTAACCCGGCAAAGGCACCGGCAGCGCTGGGCAGAGTTACAGTGAACAGCCAGAGGTTTGGAAAAGAAACAGCGACGTCTTTCTTGCACGTCTTCCCCGACTCGCTCGAGTTCTCACTGCAGCGGAGGACTCCGCGTGAGCTCCCCTTCGTCCCCGCCCTCTCCCGACAGCAGCTCAGCGAGGCAGGGAGCCTGGGAGGCACGTAGCGAGCTGCCTCTTCGCTTTCCAGGGATGCGTTTGGAGCAGAGAGCGTGGGCCCCAGTCTGGCACTGCACACATCAGCTTTTCCTAATGGCCTCAAAGGATGGAACTTCTTTGTTCCGGAGGGGGGGAAAAAAACCCCGCAGAGCCCCGAACTTCACACACATAAACTGCCTGGATTGCGGGCGGGCTGCGCCCGCGCGGGGCGGACAGTCAGCGAGGAGCCCACCTGCATGCTTTGTCCACTGGCGACCCTCGGCGGGGAGGGCACGGGGCCCTGAGGACGAGCTCTCCGGGATCTGGTCCCGCTGGCGCCCAGTTAGTGTGACCGTTCTGCATCCCGTCGTGAAACACTCTGACTATCACCCAACAGCGAGCTGGACTACAGACAGGCTGCAAGATTTATTACCATTTCTAAGTTTTATGAGTCCTATTGTTTCCTAGGCATATCACCAGGGGTAGCTATAATGAGGGTTCTAGGAGAAAGAGTTCAGGAGAAGGAACGGGCCGCCCGCCTGGGCCCAGCTCCCACCTGTCCCCCCAGCGATTCCCTGTCTCCGAGTGGCTCTGCAGGACGGGGCGGGGAGTCCGTCTTTCCCCCGTGTCCCGAGGTAGCCAAGTGCGGGCGAGCAAGGGAGTGCATTCCTCTGACACTTAGAAAAGTTTCAAACACTTCTAACGTTTTTGTGGGAACTGGGCCGCAGGCGTGATTTACCAAACCCCGCTCAAGTTTCCTCGTGCACATCTTAGGGATGCTGACTTTAAGTCATTTGTGTGATTGTCCTGTGTCATCAGGGGCACACTTTCATAAGAGGAAAGTTCTTTTTTATTCTTTAAGACAATGAGAATGGCTGGATTGAGAAGGGGACAATGATCTGCCCACTGCCATACTTTTTGCAGTGCGACATGCCCCCACCCGGCAAGGAGACAGCTCCAGCCCCGGGTCCCGCTAGCTTCCTCCGGCAGCCACGTGCCCGGGCAGCCCGGCCGCACCGGCTCTGCGGAGCAGGGTCCTGTCGCCCCGGCATCACACGGCAGGGTGCTGGGTCCCTCCAGCAACTCTGGGGACTCAGATTGCGTGACTGGGCACACTCGTTCAGGTTCGCGGATTCTCCGGGTCCGTCCTACCCCAAACTTTGGAGACGTTCTATCACAAAGGTCCGGAGCCTCCTTTCCGAGGAGTTGGAGGCGTTGTTCTTGCTTCTCCAGCGCTCCGTCTGCACCTAGTTACACTTGCGAGTGTTTTTCCTTCTAGCCTGAGGCGAGGGGTCCTTCGGGGCCCCTCAGGGTGGCATGCCCTGCTCTGAAGTTGGGGATGGGAAGTGGGATAGGAAGGCTCAGAGCACACTAGTCCCTCGGCTACACTTCCAAGGACAAGTCCGCGGTGGCCCCGGGCACCGACTCTCAGCTACACTTGGGGGTGCCCTTCGTGGCCCAACGCAGTGGAGGGACCACTGCGTTGGGCTAGTCTGTCCGCAGCGTGTGCGCCCCAACCCAACCGCAGCCCTGTCCTAGAACACAAAGGTGCCTACAGGTCCTAGGGGCAGAAGGGCCAGAGAGCGGTCCGGGGAAGGCTGAGGAGTGGGTGTTCCAAAATTCCGGAGCAGCGGGGACTGCTAGCTACCCTGGTGGGCATTCCTCACACGAGGGCGCAGGCGCTTGGGAGCTGGAAGAGCAAAGTGAGGAGAAAGTAACAGTGTCTTCTGGAGTGCAGTAAACTTTTATTTCCTCCCTCAGACAAGTCAAGGTAGGGGAGCTTAGAGTTAGGGTGGTATTCAGGAGAGAGAGGGATAGAGAGAGAGAGAGGGAGGGAGGGAGAAAGAGAGAGAGAGAGAGAGAGAGAGAGAGAGAGAGAGAGATGGGGAGGAGGGAGGAGGGACAGGGAGGTTGGGTTGGAGCCTTTAGTGGACTCCAGAATTCGCCCACTGGCAGGTGCCTGCGGGCTGCAGCTTAAACCGGAGGGCAGACACTCGATCCACGGCGTGGCCGAGTCGGGGCTTGTTAAGGAAGTCTGGGTATTTAGAGTCCCCTCCCTCCCCCGTCCGAAGGTCACTGGAGCTTTTCCGTCTCGGAGGAGAGGACACTGTGGAAGGGAAGGCGCAGGTCACTTTCACAGGCTGCGTAAAGGACAGGCCGCCTGCCGGGGGTGGAAATCCTTAATTATACCCTTCCGCCTCGGAATCCATCTTCCCGGCAGTGTCTTGCGCCGCCACCTCCTCGGGTGACTCGGCTGACCTGAAATGCCCACCCTAGGGAAGATCAAGAAAAGTAGTTTTCTAAGAAGGTTAGAGGTTTGATTACACAGACAAGTGTTTCCACTTAGGTCCAAAGCAATTACCCGCCCCCTCCCCCTGCGCCTCCTCCCGCCACGGGAGATGAAAAGGACAGACCCCCACGCACGTACCCGCGCACTGTGTCGGTGCGTGTGCATTTCAAATGGCGCTGCAAGTTCATTAGTGTTTGCAATCAGCCGCGGGCAGACCCCTCGTCGGAGCCGGAAGGCGGCAAGAGCCATTCATCAGCGTGAAGTGTTCTTCACGGATGACCCCGAGATCGCGGCGCGAGGGGCGCAGGCACTGATTGGCCGCAGCGGGGGAGCCTCCGCGCCTTCCCGAACCGCCGCGGCCGGGAGCGGGGAGGGGCTGCGAACGTGGTTCAGTCCGGCAAATCCCATTTGACGGAAAAGGGCGGTCAACGGGAAATCTCTCTTTTTGAATAAAAAAAAAAAAGAAGAAGAAGAAGAAATAAAGTACCCGTCATCTTGACAAGTTGCGGAGCGGAGGAGGCCAGGATTATAAATGATCGCAGCCGGCCCGGCTCGCCCCGGAATTGGGCTCTCCCGCGATCCGCGCGGAGGGGGAAGCGCAGGGTAGGCTCCTCGGCTCGCCTCGCTCCCACACTCACACACACGGACACGTGTACGCGCCCGGCTCGGGCGCACTCGGCCGGCGCGTCCCCCGCCGCGCTCGGAAGGTCCTGGATGCCGCTCCCGGGCAGCGCGCCCCGCCCGCCTCCTCACTTTCCCCTCCGCCTCCTCCCTCGCCGTCTCCGTCCTCCCGCTCCCGGGCCGGGAACCCAAAACTCCGGCCGGGCCTCGGCCGCCGGCGGCCCGGGAGGAGGCTGGAGGGGCTGGCGGGAAGGGAGAGGGGGAGAGCGCGGGGGAGGAAAAGAAAGTGAACTCATTGGCGCTCCGCGCGCTGCCCTCCCCTCCCGCGTCCCTCGCCCGCCGCTGCCTGGCGGTGGGCACGGAAGGAAGTTGTAACACTTGCTGTTCTCTCCCCTCCCCTCCCCTCCCCTCCCCGCCCCCCTTCCCCCAAGCCCCACTCCGCTCCCTCGGCGGGGCCCCCTCCTCTGCGCCCGGCTCCTTTGAATTTGGCCAAGTGCTGTGTGTGCGCGCTGCTCCGCGGACGCAGCGGCTGCGGCCGGGCGGCGAGCTGGCGGCGCGGGTGAGCCAGCGCGGTAAGTGCGGCGCGGCCGCCGGCGCGTCCTCCTTCCTTTCGGGGGTCCTAGTGCCCGGGCCGCGGCGCCGGGAGCTGGAGGGCGGGTGCTGGGAGCGGGCGGCGGCCGGCTGGGACGGCGGCGCTTTCCCGGAGCTGCTCTGGGAGGAGGCAGCAAGTTGGCCAGCCCCGGTGGCCCAGAAGCATCTCCCCGGTGCGCAGCCTCTCCGGGTCCGGCCTCCGGGTCCCCGGCCTCCCCGTCCCCGCCCCTCCCACGCGTCTGACACCTCTGGCTGCCTGCTCAGGTGGGAACTTCGCCGGGGCCTCCAGCCCGGGGAGCAAGGCACCGCCCAGGTTCCCACCGGCTCCCGGGTTCCCCGGGAGAGGCAGCTCAGGGGCTGGGCGCTCGGTGGGGGCGGGGAGCCCGGCCACTCTTGCTCTGATCTGGGTGATCCCCAGTTTTCTGATGGGGCGCCGCGTCCTTGGAGGAGGTGTCTGAAAGGACCTTGCGGGGAGTCCAGCGAGCAGGCAGCCCTGGGTTGCCACCACTTTCCCGGGAAGTGGAAGCGAGGCTCCTCCAAGTACCGGGGCGCCAAGTTGGGAAGGAGTGAAGGAAGGCGGCCCAAGCGCTGGGGTAGCGTGTGGACTGGTGTATTTGGACTGAAACTTGATCTGGGAACTCTAGTTGGGGCTAGAGGCAAACAGATATCCTGAACTGGGCATTTACAAAATCACAGATGTATGAGCCTGCAACCCAGTCGAAGTCTGTATCGTGTTTTACAACCGATTCGAAGGAGCATCACAACATTTGAGATGAAAGTGGGTTAGGGGTGGTGTCCGCCGAACACCTCACTGCGCAGTTTGGATTCCAGCCTTACCGCCCCACCTCGACGGTGGTTGTGGTGGTAACCTGCTACTGATTTTTATTGCCTACAAAGAGTAACAACTAATCCTACTGTGCAGCGCAGCAAATTCACTTGTTTCTGAAGTCATTATATTGGAAGCGAGAAAAAAAAAAGTCCAAGTCCCCAGGTACTGGTGGGTGAGAGCCCTAGAAGTTGGAGAGGGAGCGCTGTCCACGCACTCGGCGCAGGGCCCCCGCGAGCTGGGGCCCACCGGCACAGGGCCGTCTCCTCTTTATAATACCCTCTTATCTTCTGACAACGTGTTTGTCAAACATTGTGGACTCCGGCAGAAGCCACTGGGTGGTCTTTTCGCTGCAAATAGAAATATGTTCGGCATTACCTTTCCCTTCTGTTGTCATAAGGGAAAAGAGAAAGGCAGGACTGGAGCCTTTGGAAAGCTTGCACGAGTACCCCCAAAGATGGTGTTGTGACTGAGCAGAACTGGGGAGTTTCGCTCCCGCAGTGAATTTGTTTAAAATACAAAGCCTCCCCCCACCCCCCACCCCTACCTCTCCATTGCCGACCTGGAGAAGTGTTTGTCGTCTTTCTGGCGTATTTGGAACAGAGGTTAGAATTCAGTGACTGTGTAGTTAAAATTCATTCTAGATTTTAATGTTTTAGTTGAAACAAAAGATTTTACAAATCAACAGTCTTGCTTTGTGCGTCTCTTAATGCATTTTTAATTACCTGAAACTTCTAGTTTGTGTTTCTTAATGTATGAAATTCTTCTAAGAGCCTTGAAACTTTCGATTTGTGATTCTGAATGCAGAGCAAATATTTAGTTCTTGCTCTGAGAGGGAGAGGTTAGCTCAGTAATAAGACTTGCTAATCCCACTTTAAAATGTCACGGTATTCACAAATTACTCCTAAATTCTTCAAAAGATAGGGGTTTGTAATGAGTTTAGGTATTCTATTGTGTATTTCAGGATTGTATCTCTCTTCCTTTTGCATTTTTCTTAACCATCTTGCCTTTTCCCTTACCTGAATTTTAATATTCCTCTTACTCAAAGGTACTTTTTTCCTACTTTATTTATGATAATTTAAAAAGAATATATATTATGTGGGAAAAAAGTTTCTTTGAGTAAAACAAATATATTTTTACATATACCACACAATTTATATGAAAAATGAATTTATATGCTAATAACTGTGCCAGTCCTTATAAATTTGGAAAATATATTAATAGCTTTGGCCAGTAGCATTAATGTTTGGACTCACAGACAAAGAGTCCTGACCCTAATGGGGACTGCCTGAGTATTTAAAATAAAGCAGATAAGTGTATAGTAGAATCGTGACTAGTAGTTATTTCTCCATATTGAATCATTTTGCAGGCTGTGTTTATTTTCTAGAAAGAAATGTTTGAGGCAAATCACAGAGGCTTTTCTTACCATGATCTTGTAGGCGTGTCACGAGTGTTCGGTTAGCAAAGGAAACCGGCTTTATTAGGGTGAAGACAAAGAAAGATAAGGATGCTTATCTTTGAATAGAAGAAAGCACACAAGTCAAGGGAAAAGTTTTCCATTTAATCAAAAAGAAGACCTAGCTGAACAAGAATGATCCAGTTATCAAGTTCAAGCTGGTCCTTCTTAGCTCTGCTTGTGCGAGCCCAGGGTAATTTTTCTCTTTGTAAAGAGTCAAGCAAGTAAGAACCCAGGCAGACGTGTGTGGCTGTCATCGTGAGCAGAAAGACCTGCCTTACGATGCCTTATTACTGGAATACTGGAATACTGGAATCCAGAAATACTGGATCAACTTGGAGCTTGTACCAAAAAAAAAAAATGATGTTTTTGCGGTAGCTGTGAAAGTATGTTTGGAAATGCTGAAGTTTATCCCACCTAGAATGGTGCTGGAAAATAAGTCCAGAAGATGGTCATAATCTGATAGAAAAACGCCGTAAAGACAACTTTATTAGTTTATTAGTATTGACTCTATTAATAAATGCATTACCTCCTCTGTATTAAACTGAATTTCACCCTTTAAAGATTTGATTTCTGGGTTGCTGAGGAATGCCATCGAGGTATTAACTTAGAGGTACGTGGACCAGCGTGGTCAGCGGCATGAAGGAAGGGGCTGCCTGCCCTTGTCTTGAAGATGTGCTGTGGAAACTCGCTAAGCATTTCAGCTGCACGGTACTTATATACCCAACATTTCCTGGGGTAGTCAAATGTCCACTTTGACTTGCAGGACACATTTTTGCTATCAAACTTTTACTCCGACCCACCACCAAGTATGCCTCCCTTTGGATTTTCAGTTGAAGCCATTGTTTGTATTTGTATAAAGTGGAAGGCTACTTCCAGAGAAGAATTGCATGTGCATTCAGAATGAAATAGCCCTGTACTGAAGAGCCAGTACAATAATGCAGTGCTACCTCGAAGTTTCAACAACTAAGTCTTTAAAATGAGGACACATTTAAACCCTGATTTTGAATATATCAGCTGTTTTTAAAGTCCTGATGGACATTCGGCGCTTTAAAAAAAAATGCTTCTTAGTTTCCAAGCTGATTAATTGTTGTGTCTTATAAAAACTGATTTATTTCATACTTTTTATTCCAAGCATTACCGTTATGAAGCTCTCTTTCTAACTGAGATTAATGTTTCTGAGCAAAGAAGTGGTTTGGAGGGCTGCATTCATTTTAAGTGCTGTTGTAATCAATTTTAGACACAGCATTCCACAATGGATCAGTTTGCATCCAAACCTGCCTTATTATGTAGAATTAACTTGTTGGTGATTGATAGTAATACTTCTCCATCTTGAGAAGTCATTTGTTTCCAAACAAGTGTGATGGCTTGTGAGGGTTTCCAAATATTGCTTCTCACAATTAAAACCTCCTTTTGGGGACTTAATTTGAACTTCCTCTAAGAATTATGTAAAGCCCGGGAAATCCATTCATTAATACATTTTCAACTGAAATAGCCCTTTCCCCCCCCACCCCCAAATACGTGATGCCTCAAGGTGTATTTTCTTGCTCTTCAAAGGGCTTTATGGTCCTTTGAGTGATAAACGGTAAACATATATCTAGGGGGGTTTTCCCCCTTTTTTGTTTATATCAACGGTCCGGTTTAGTCTTTTGAGGATTTCTTAGACTTATAGCTCTACATCTTGTGCATGTCGATGACTTTACTTCACAACGTGGTTGGTATAATGCTGATGGTGAAAGGTAATGCACGTGGAGGTAATTCTTTACCCTCCTTGGGAACCTGGAAAGGTGTGGTGAATCTTTCTCTTCCCTCTTGTGATACCGGCCTGTGTTTCCTGGCTGTGTCTGGGGCCTCAGCTGAATTGTCTGGAGGACCACGCAGGCCCACGCTCCCTTTGGCTTTGGTCCATGTTGCACTGCTTCCTGTGATGCAGGCTTGTAGCCTCAGTAAAATGAAATATTGAAAGTGGAGAATGTGAGGTTAACATAGGTGATACGCTAATATAGCTGTAGCACATAGGATTCTTAAATAAAGATGTGACGCCCTTAGAGAGCATGTGAAGTTCCCTCAGTGGCATTTGTCTTTGCTTTCAGGACAAAACTTGGTAGGATATGTGTTCATTATATTTTTATTTTCTCCTCTGTAATGATAGATTATTTACGTTGACTTAGTTTTTTTTTTTCTGGTTAAGAACATCCATTTAAAACAGTTTTAAATGCTAAAATAAGGCAACTTAAAATGCCATTTTCAAAGCATCATATTAGCCAAACTTTAGAATATAAACTATCAAAACACAGGCATGATCTATGACATATGAATGTGTGCACATGTGTACATATATGTGTATATATATGTAATATACCACAGTACAATAGGATATATTCATTTGAAAGAATTTTGATAATTTTTAAAATAGTTTTGATTAAATAACTCAGGTGACTTGGAAACTAGAATAGCTACATAGTATTCTTCTTGTAAAAGACAGTAATCTACTCAAATCTGCGTCTTTCCACTTGAAGGAAGTCACTGTGCAAATTAAGCCAGCATCCTAGGACATGCTCCTAAGTAATGTGAGTGAATGATTGAAACCATATCATGTAATGTATCATGGAATAATCATAGAAGAAAACTTCCTGCCCCGCGGATACTCTCGCAATCGCAGAAGAGCCAGGGCTGGGGTAGCAGCACTGCGTCTTCGA